AAAAGCCCTGACCAAAGGGGGGGGGGTCCCAGGCTCCAGGTGGCAGGGTGGCGAAGGCCCTCCTAGAGGGACGCACCAATGACGCTCTTGGCAAAGGAGGCACGCTTAAGTGTGGCCAGGCCCAAGTCCCCAATTTTGACAGAGCCCGTGGGGCCAGTGATGAAGACATTGTCACACTTGAGATCCCGGTGCAGGATGGGGGGCGCCCGGGAATGCAGGAAGTGAAGCCCCCGAAGGATCTGGCGGCTCCATCGCTGGAGGACCCTGGGCTTCATCTCCCGGAAGCGCCTCAGGTACCTGGGGTGGGTGACACCAGGTTTGCTATGGAAAAGGATCCTCTTCCCACCCTGCCACAGGCCCACGCCAGGCCTTCGGGAGGAACCGAGTCAGGGGTTACAGAATGGGCACTAGGGAGCACGAGGAGTGACAATCCTGAGCCAGGGGAGGGCTTCACAGAGAAATAACTTCTGCATCTGGAGGAGGCGAAGTTCAAGGGTGAGAGGGGCAGGATGGAGACTTTCCGGGCAGAGGGGATGCCGTGCTCGGAGGCAGGCACATGGGCAAGTGGCAAGGCAAGGTGGGAGGAGCTGCTGGGAACCGGGTTTGTCTGGAATTAGGCTGAAAACACAGCAGGTTGGACCTTACGGACTCTGACAGTAGGTTAGCAGCATAGACTTTATTCCCAGGGTCCAGGAATCCTTGACGGGGTTTCAGGAAGATGTCACAGGTTAGGTCTGTGACAGGGATGGTGTCTGGGCTGCAGGAAAATCAGGTAGCAGAGGGAGGGCAGAGCCAGCTGGGGGGCTGCCGCAAAGGGTGGAAGCAGGAGGGACAAGGGCCAGGTGGGAAAAACCCAGCAGGAGGGACCTGGAGACTGGCCCGGTGGGGACAGCCGGGAGGGCACAGATGGGACGGTGCAGGTGGAGGGGAGCAGTGGGCCTCCCCCGGCATCCCCCAGAGCTCACGTCTTGAGCGTGCCCGAGGTCATGAGTTCGGTGACCAGCACGATGCAAACCTGGCCCCTCAGCACTGACTTCCATGAATCGTAGAAGCGGACGATATTGGGGTGCTGCAGCCCCTTGAGCATGTCCACTTCCTCAGAGAAGCGCTGCCGCTCAGCGCGGGACAGTTTCCGAGTCTGCAGGAGGGAGACAGGTCCTGTCAAGTCTGGAGCCCAGAGGAGGGAGGAAGCAGGGAGGAGCAGCTCAGAGCGGATAAGAACCGGAGTCCACAGGTGGGCTTGGGGCTAGCATCACTCTCCTGACCACGACAGACCCTGCGTGTGGGCTGGGTGCCTTCAGGTTGCCCAAGGACACACCCATCCTGGGCCAGCCGGACCCCCTGCTGGACACAAGCGCCTTTATGCAGCCTGGCCCAGGATTCCTCGGCTCAATAGTGCTTTTGTGGCCGGCCCAGTGTGGCCGTGGGGCTGGCAGCAGGCAGGCAGCAGGCAGACTGCTGGCAGGGATCTGGGGCCGCTGAGGGGTTCGCCCCAGAGATGGGGAACTGCCAGACTCAGACAAGGCAAGGGCAAAGGGAAGTGCAAGGCTGCAGCCTGGGGGCCAGTTGGTGCCAGAGTGAAAGTGGGGGGCCCTCCTCCTGGCTCTCTTCCCCAGTCTGAATCTGGAGCTTCCAGACACAGCTGGCTGGGAGCCACCCACATAAGAGTGGGAGCAATGGCCGTCAAGCAACGTCCTCCAGGTGCGCCAAGGGCAGCCCAGGCGGGAAGTGGACAAGGCTGGCCTGGACAGTGCTCCTGTCCCCGCCCCCGCAGCTGTGCAGGAGCCCAGCAGTCGGCCTGGTCCAGACCGCCCTAAACCCCTCTGCAGTGGACAGGACCGGCACCCTAGCCCTAGCCCCAGGTGTGGGGAGAACAGGGGGCGCTGGAAAGTCTCAGGAGGAAGAGGGGGAGCCTGGGCCAGGCCCCCAAACCCTGAAGTGGCCCCCACCCCATTTCCAGTCCTGTTCCAGCTCTCGGGGATCTGTGGATACTTGACAGTGCGTCCACGCACACCACCTGCCTCAGTTTCTCCTTGCTAGCCTGGCCGGCATGTGGGGAGTCCCGACATGTGGCAGGAAGAGCGTGTCCTCCCTCTCTGTTGTCCCGGCCCAGCCCCCCAGGTCCCTCCCAAGGCGCCGCCGCACCTGCAGCTCGCACCAAGCCACCTCCACCGTGGTGTCGGTGTCCAGCCCCCGATACACCGTCTTGAAGGAGCCACGCCCGATCTCGATGTCAAACTTGAGGTACCGGCCGTCAGGGGACGTCGCCACGGC